ATCTTAGTCAAAAAATATAACAAAAAAATTTGGTAGCAACTTTTTTTTTTGTAACAGAAATTTTTTTTTACTTCACTGATTTACGCCTGGGGAGAGGTATTTATAAGAGTTTTTAACAGCGATTTTGCATCGATTTTCATCGAAACTTTAGCATCGCATTTTCATCAGAATAGTTTGTGTTGATTTTGCTTCGAATTAGCATCGTTTTTTCGTCGAATACAACCGCCACTAAAGAAGTAGGTGAACCCATTAAAAAACGTGTCACCTACCTACCCTATCCGACGCAATGTTCGACGCTAGAGGGTCGACGCTAAATCGACGCTAATGCGTCGAACTGAGACCGTCGCTGACAAAGCGACGCTAAATCGACGTTATATAGCGTCGGTTTTTTTCGTCCCAAATTAGCATCGGTGTTGCATCGAAATTTGATAGCGACACAATGACGACGTAAATTCGACGCTATAATTGCGTGACTTAAATTCGACGCTAAAACTGTGTTTTCTTGTAGTGTCTCTCATCTCTCTTCTCACTCCAAAATTTTGTTCTTTCTTTGATTTTTTCAATAAAGTGAGAATAATTTCACTTGTTTGTACTCCATAGATAAGTTCTCTTAAACCCTTGTATTGCTCTTAATGATATCAAATTTATCTATTGCTTTTTCTATGGTTTATGTGATCATGATCGAGAAGATTTATTGTTGGATCCTAAGGGGTAATTCAAAGGGATTTCATGATCACATAAACTAGGGTGGAGTTTTAACTAGGATGACGCTTTTGATAGATCATAAGTAGTATTTCATCTCAATTTATTCTTATTTCATGTTTCTAGATTGATCATCTTGAAACTAATCTTAGACGAAAATTGTTTGATAGCCCATTCTTTTATTGTCTTTAACATGGTGTTTGATGAGTCTAATTCTTTAACTTGCGAAAGTTGAATTATTACGTTAAATGAACAATTAAACTTGCTTAAACTTTCATGATATTTATTCTATTGATTGCGAGAGTTGATTAATAGGATAAATTTGACATAGTAGTTATCGCTGCGAAAGTATGGTTAACTTGCTATAGTATTCAAGTTTTAGGATGTAATAAGATCAAATCAATTGCACATAGGAGTAGATTGCCTGAATAATTCGTACTATGAATCCCTGAGAATTTATGAAACCCAACGTTTTCATCATAGTGTTCACAACCGATCTATTTGCTTGCTTTGCTCACCATAAACCACAAAAACCAGTTTGACTTAGTGTAATTTTTAATTCATATTTCTATGGTGTGCTCGAAATCGTGGGATCGATACCTCAAGTATTACAATCAATTTACTGTGCACTTGCAGTTTAAAGGTTGTTAAGATTGAGTAAATTTTAATTTTTAGGACATCATGTTGACATGAATATGAAGTTTTTTTCCTTTTCCGAAATGTATTTTAAGACATTTTGGATTTCACTAAAGGCATAGGCAGATATTGTCCATAAAGTAGCCTATATTGAATTCCTTATCTAAAGCAGCTCCTTTGAGGAGAATAGAATAAGGGATGTGAACCCACGTTTTACCTTGTGGAGACAATATAGTAGGAGCAATCAGAGTAAGAGTTTTGTCAGTATTCCTACTGACAGTTTCAGACCAAGTCGCTTTTGCAGGGACATGTCTCCTTGAAGGTGGATGAGGTCTCCTCTCAGAGGTGGGAAGAGTGGGTGAAATGGACAGGGGATGAAGCGGTCCTGTAATGTCTGGAATGGGGGATGTGGTTTGAGGTAAGGTGGAGGATGAGATGGGTGGGGTTGGCTCACCAGTGTTCATTGGTAATGTAGAAGAGATATTAGGGATTTGAGCTGTAGTGTCTAGATTTAAGATTTTAGGAATAGTTATGGAATAAAGTGGAAAATTTTGGTTAGGAGGACTTAGCACAATAGTAGTAGTAATAAGAAAAAAGAAGAAACCTTATTAGCTGAAGGAATCTCCAAATATGGAGTGGTGGATGGAGGGACGTCGTTGCATGGAATCAAAACTGGATACGCGAAAGCGGAAGCGAGTTTGAAAAAATAAATTAGGAAGCGTACGTGTTGAAAGCCTATATACATATATATTTAAAAAAGTTAAGAAGTACACGATTTTTTTTTTTGTCAAAACTTACTTCATTCATTTAAATGATCAAAGTACAAAGGGAGGGAATTGAGCATCCTCCAACATTACTACAACATAATTGAAATGCAATAAAAC